GAATCATTAAATTGTAATATACGGAGCTTTGATCCGAAAATTCAACATATAATTCAATATTAGAGCGGTATCCGCTTGTAACATTGTTCATTCAAATTATGGTCCAGTTTTCACGTGAGCAAACAAACCTAGGTGTTGTTAAATCACACATTAAATTATTAAATAGTTTCGAATAAAATCAAATAAGAGCTGAACTTCAATATTAGTATATGTGGTTGTATGTATGTACGCAAGTTAAAATCACAATGAAAAGAGAACAAAGAAGCAAGAGTTTGGTAAATAGGCATAAAGTTATTCAATTCAAAATACGAATAAATGTATGTATATTGTACCAAATTGATTAATAGTTTTAAAATAGCATGAATACTTGAAAATAGGTTTGGCTCATAACCTAAAAATGTAAAAAATGTAAAGCATTCCTTACGAATTATGTAAAGAACTACAAACCGCTACATTTAAAAGTGTATACTTTTTAAAAGGAAGAATAGGGAAATATGGCAAAAAATTGCTTTCAAATCAAAGTAAGGTCATTAAAAGTAGAATAACTGATTTACTCAGTTTAGTCTGTCAATAAGTAAAATTAGAAGGATTCATGTTAAAAATAGCGGATATGGATTTGAATTGATCAATTCTCAATTTCAATTTTTGACAATCCAACATACTTTTTTCAATGAGTGCAGCATTAGCAGCGATATTAATACAACATAGATATCTGTATAGATCGTTTCTTGTTAGGGGGATCCCAGACTTGAAATTAGTCGCGTTCAGCAATTTTATATGAGACAATAGTCTCTGCCGAATTATAACTATAAATATAAAAAGATGAATATGATTTTTATCATCTTTACAAATATCCTAAGTATTTTAAAATTAAAAAAGTCATGAGAGAATATGGACTCTCTCGCTTCGTAAAGCAAACTCCTTAATAGACGACATTTAATTCAGCTTACTCATATGATATATTAAAAGTACTTCATTGCGAATTAATTGCAAAGATAAGCTTTTTTTTTATCACTTTTTACTTGGAAACATCCTGATCCAGCATCGTCTCATCCTTCTTAAGTTCGGGTCTACTATCAAAGTCGTCGGGCAGATCACAACCCAAATAAGCCTCATTGTCCACGCAATATTTAATACACGAACGCCAACAATGATCTAAATAAAGCAAATGTGGGTTGCCAAATATGAACATCAGATAGCGTGCACGCGAAATTGCTACGTTCATGCGTTTGGCGCTTTGTACAAAACCGAGAGCGTGACGCAAATCACTGCTGATTAATTTCTGTGAGGAGCGTACTGTAGATATAAGGACGATGTCACGTTCCTGTAAATTCAGTGAGTGCCCGTGAATAGGGAAAGTGCTATTGAATAATTAAATAGATCTTCTAATCACAAACCTGTCCCTGGAACTCTTCTACGGAACCGATTTTCGGCATAGCAATGTCAGCTTCGATAAAAAGGGTGCGTAAATGCTTCACTTGCTTCAAATAAGGTGTTATTATCCCAATATTTTCTGGTTGAATGCCTTGACGATATAATTTGATGGCCATCAAAAACACCTGAAAAAGTTCACAAATACTTTAGCTTTTTCCATAGTTTTATTCTAAACAACTTCGCACATTTCTCGCTTCCAGTGGATTAAACCACGATGGTGAATCGGATTCCTGTTTATTTTCACTGCGAGTGCCATAGAAAAAAATTCCGTGTGTCTTAGGTCGTTTTTCCGAGAGAGGCAATAGCACATCAAGTTTCTTCAACATTTCAGCTTCACGAGAACTTTTTTCATTGACCATTGGTCGCAGTTCGGAATCATAAAACAACTCGTTATATACGTTGAGTATGGACGGTAAAGAACGGTAATTATAGAGTAATTTGGTGACCAAGCGTGGATCGAATCCGGAAGTGTCGGGAAAACGCATCATGTCGCGTAGGTAGGGCGTACGACCTATTATGCGTTCGAGTAGTGATATTGCTAAGCCACGATCCGTTGCAAAGCGATTAATCACTATAGCTGGTAGCTGATGTGGATCACCGGCCAATATAACTTGACCACGCGTTTGTGACACTAAACACACGGGCACGATAACTTCGGGTTCAGTACACTGACCAGACTCATCGATGAGCACATGTGTAAAATGTCCAGATGGGAAACCCATTTGCAGAAAATTACCAAGTGTAGTGCAAGTACTGATAGTCAGCCGATGACGGCCCAGATATTTCATTTGACAACGTAATTTCATGCCTGATTCAGTCACAATCATCTGTAAAGGAAAAGCTGTTATGAAAGTTGTACTATTTGGGTAAATGTATCTACAAACCGAATCGTCACAAGTGCCATCGGCAGCCATATCTACGGTAGCGCAATAAGGCATAAGATGTTCCGGCACTAGTTCTTTTTCAATTTGATTCTGCGATACTAAGCGAACAAAATCTCCCGGTTGCAGTTGTTTACTTTCTATTAGACGCGTTGCTATCAAATCTGCTGATCCATTCGAGGGAGTGCCAATAAGTAAACGTGAACTGGGTATGAGCTTAATTAGCTGTATCATGGTTTCCACGAGTGTCATGGTTTTGCCTGTGCCTGGCGGTCCAAATATTACATAAGGCATATTCTTCGCTTCACCTCTCAAAATATTACGTATGGCGCGCTTTTGTATTGGATTCAACATCGGATTGAACCATGGATAGTGTTTACCTTGCAGCATAAGATTATCGTCACTGTTTAATTCGATTTGAAGTTGTGGCTCATCACGCGTGTGTACACGGGCAGGAAACAGAAATGGCTCCCCCAAATGCTTTATTATACGGTTAACCGCAAAGTGTTGTTTGCGAAAAGAAAATCGGGAATAATAGAATTCCAAACGAAAATCTTCACCGTTATATTTGGACTGAAACCCTTCGTTAAATTTCAACAATATACGATTGAAGAGAACTTTATGAATTACGCCATCATAGCTACGCTTATCATTATCATTACTCCACGGATTTATAGCGCGCACTGTGTCACCGATAACGAGTGACGGTCGACGTTCGGATAGATTTTCTATAGTAAGCGATAAAAACTCCCCGTCGCGTGTGAAATGGGCCCTCTCTCTATCATAATTTCGAAAATTTACAAAATATTCGATTTCTTCGAGAAATATTAATGTTTGGAATCGTATTGTATAGTTCTTTATGTTTAGCTCTTCTTTCACACATGGAAACATGTTTTCCACTCTGTCTATCATTTCTTGACGGCTCGCCGATGTCAAATAAGCATTACGCAACCGTTCGGGCACTTCATAATAGGCGATTCTAAGTGATAGAAAACGGCGCTTTGTTGCCAAGCCTACACCTGGTATGACTTCACCTTTATTCGACCACACTTGATTGGCGTAGTAGCGAGAGCGCTGTCGTAGATTTTGCACACCATCGTTCAGTCCATTCATTGTGCTATGATTAGGTTGAGCCAATGCGGCCTTCGCTTCTTCCTCGGTCTCACAAACCACTACTGAAATGGAACGCTTCACGCGGAATTTTTCAAATTTAATAACAAAAAATTCGCGCGATTCTCCATAAAATTTCGATTCTATTTCGAAAACTAGTGCGCGACTACTGTGAGCCGGGATCTCAAACGCGGTATTATCGTGCTCGGGATCTACAAGTTTCACTTGTGAATCTCGTCGGCGTCCCAAAAAATCGATGGAAAGTACATGCATATTTCGTTCTATATTGTTCTTAATGACCATCTCGATCCGTTTGGTCTGAAAGGTTGCAGAAAAAATGCAACGGGCATCTTCAGAAACAGTGATTGCATGATTGCTTTCTTTCCGTGAATTCAACGCTGAAGGGCTTTCCCCGTTAGTTGATGATTCTGCTTTGGAGGAGGTAGTCACTTGTGGGGATTTACGTTCCAATAGGGATAATTTAACACAACGCCAGATGTATGGATCCTGTATATATTTAAAATTAAAATTTCTAATTAAAAATGTATATCCCACTTTTTTACGTACATATGTGTACTTACACGTTCACATTCGATCAGATCTGCCAAAACTATATCCCCGACGTCTAGCTTACAAGCATTAGGCACTACGTCCAAGGTGAAATAGCAATCATTATTTAGTACTCCCCAGTCGGTATTTAAACGTCGCACTTCGCATTTTTCTTGTTTTTGTAAACGAGCGGGATGTACACTTACCTCTTGCAGTATTTCACCTTGTCGATTCACGAAATGCTCATCACTTTGTACGTTGCAACAGATGAATACACGATCACCTGCTTGTGGTATAAAATCTATTTCTATTGTATCTAAATTAATGTTCATCAGTTTGTGTTCGGTGTCCACGACAATAGCACTTGGTTTACGCTCCATTATAAGCCCAAGAATATTTCTTTGATGTGTATTGAAGAACGTCGGCTTTTCATTGCGTAATTCAGCTATTTGCTGCTCAATCTTAAAAGGAAAAAAGAAAATATACATCTTTTACTTTTATTTATATAAAATATGCACACAAACCTTCTCTGTGCTTGGCATTGATTCGTCCCAAAACAGTCCAGAAACTTCATTGATTTGTACCACTTTTATATGATCACTATGAACTTGTTGATATGCCAAATATTTTACGTGACAGCCGACCTTAAGTTCGCTTGCTAGTCCTCCAGCCGCTTCGATATCAAAAAATATTGAATGATCAATTGTACCATGGTTGCTTTTTAACGTTGTTATAACTCCTATAAAAATTGAACAAATAAATCGTAATTAAATAAAGCAATATTTGGTACTACAAAGACTTACCAAGCCGTTGAAAACATTTATCCTCATCATTACTAGACAAAATACCATTTTGCGGTGCGTTAATAGATCTTAACACATTTTGCATGTTAAAACTCTCACCCTTTTTGATTTTTTCATTTTCTTCTTTCTCAATTTCTGTGTCCAAATGTCTCTGCTCCTCTTCTAGTTTTTCCGCAAGTAAACGTTTTTGCTTCTCAGCATCCATAGAATCCCACAAATTTTTAAAAAAGGACAACATTTTTATTTTGAATATTTAAATTATGTATGTCTAAAACTTGAAAAAAAATCTTTAGTTTCATTTAAGTGATTATAGCGCCTTCCTATTTGCTGATTCATACATCCAGTCTGTCTCACTTATATAATTTAATTCTTTGCGGAGGTTTTGTAAACGTTTTTGATAAGAGTCAGAAATTGTTTGTTTATAGTCGTCCTCTGTGAGCACTATTGAATGACAACGTGAAAAGGTTTTATCCGTTTGGGTCTCCGGTTTCTTCACCTGCATGAATGAACACTTGAAACATTTTTTTTTTCGTTAAATTTGTGCGCTTACCTCTCCACCAATTGCAGTTTCAGATGTACTCGGAAATTCTTCGGTAATATTTCCAGGCTGGTGCATGATACAAAAAACAACTCACGTTTTTACAAATTGTGAGTTAGCGTGACCATTAAAGTTTAACAGATCTCAACAATTTTCAAATCGGCGTTTATCAAAAAAGAAGCCGGAAAATGAAAATGAGGAACAAGCTGAATTCAAACATAGGGTGCAAAACTAATACCCCTCATGACCTTTATTTAACTAAGTGGATTTTGAATATATCGAAATAATGTCTTTATTTTAAATGCACGAATTGTTTTTCATTTCAAACTGATTAAAGCTTAATATTTTAATATTTGTTTATTATTTTGTGTACATGTATATAGATACATGTAAGTATTTGATATGAAAAAAAATAAACAATTCCCATAATCAGCCTGTGTTCAAACCATTCGAAAATATTTTCTTCTAGTGTATATTTTGTTGCTGCAATAAATGTCAAAATACGACACACCATCCAATTGACATTTTAGGCACCACACTTTTCTTTAACTGAGTTACGTGCTTTGCATTGCTTCTGGCTTTGTTATTTGCAAAATATTTGAAACAATATTTATAAATTAACTTGAAGAAAAAGTGTTGTAAATTTGTTTTAGAAAATCGATTGAAAGAAACGCTTAACGTTTTAAATAGTTAACAGGGTATAGCAGGAGATCGCAACAGCAGTAAAGTTGACTGAATCGCGGAGTTATTTCGTTTGCATTTACGTGGAGCGGCGGCGGCTGAACGTGTTGAAATTGCGCGAGGAAAAATGGTTAAGACTAAAAAGGGCAAGAAAGAGATAGCAACCAGCGCTGTTGGAGGTGTTTCGTCCGGCGATGAAATGTAAGTGCACCAGGATGTTTTGATACGGCTCCTTAATAACGGCTAAAAACAAGTTTGCAATGTCTTAAAGAAGTGTGCGGGGAAATTTGCTGCGTTGTCAAATCTGCTTGGGTCGTTAAAATTTATACATACGTTATGTGAATATACGAGTACATATATGAGTTTTTTGTATTTAAACATATGTATATATACATATGAGCTTTGGTTAACAAATTATTTGTATTTCGCGAAAACGTCTAGGGACCAAACTGAACTTCAAGAAGCTAACATCAATTCCGATGCCGAGCAGAACAATGTAAGCCTAAAAAACAAGAAGAATCAACAAAAATCGACAAAAAAGAATAAGAAAAATCGAAAAGATTCAGAAGAGGCAGAAGATGAGTTGGATAGCATCACAACTGGTGTTAAGAAGTTAGAAATGAAAGGAAAGTCCAAAAACAAAGGCAAATCAAATCAGATTGATTCAGATGATGAAGTAGCCGATGGCAATAAGGAAGAAGAAGCACCAGTGAAATCCAAAAAAGGTAATAAAAAGAAATCTGCTTTCGAACTACTGGCAGCAGACGACGATGATGAGGATTATGAAGCTAATCCACAGGATATTGACATGTTAGAGGAGGAGGATGAGCCAGTTAAGCAGTCAAAAAAAGAACACAAAAATGCCGGTAAAAAAGGTAAAAAATCCAAAAGGGGAAAAGATGATGAAGAAGATTTAGATCAAATCTTAGCAGAACTTCAAGCTGAATATGCGGGGGAGACATCAACAACTACCACAAATGTTGTTGCTCCAGATGATTTGGACGACGAGGAATTTACTAAAAAGAAGAAAAATAAAGGCAAGCCACAGAAAAGCGCTGTTGAAATTTCAGCACCTGACGCAGATGAAGCTGTTGGTGGTGGTAATGATGATGAGGAAGGAGGTACAGTTAAAACCGCTGCACAAAAGAAAAGAGAAAAGAAGGAGCGTCAAAAACGAGAGGCAGCTTTGGCTAAACAACGAGGGCCACCACAAACGAAGTCAGAGGTAGTGGAAAATGTAGAGGAAATAACTGAGGCTGTAAATTTGGCAGAAAAGACTGAAGATAAAGAGGTACAACCTCAATCAGGAGCTAGTGGTGGGGGAAATGAAGACTCCGGTGCGATTGCAGAAGAAGAGTCGGGAAAGGATAAAAAGAACAAGAAGAAAGGTAAAAAGGATAAAAAGACGGAAGAAGAAGAACCGAAGAAGGATAGTAAAAAGAAAGGGATGTCCGCGGCTATGGTGGCTGCTATGCAGGAACGCTTGAAACAAATTAAAGAGGAAGAAGAGCGACAGCAGCAGTTGGAAGAAGAACGGATAAAGAAAGAAGAAGAACGTGAGCGGCTCCGTTTGGAAGCCATAAGGCTGGAAGCTGAGCGCAAAGAAAAGAAGAAGCAAAAAGAAGCAGAAAGAAAAGCCCGACTTAAGGCAGAAGGCAAACTTCTTACCAAAAAACAGAAGGAAGAACGAGCAAGAGCGCAAGCTATGTTAGAAGCTTTGAAAGCCCAAGGGCTCGAAATACCCGATCCAACTGAGAAAAGGCCAACAAGATTAGGTAAATCGTATTGTTTTTTTTTTGTTGATCTTGCAACACATGATACTTTTTTTTATAGGTACACGTATTCGTCCAAAGAAGAAAGGGCCTGCCAAAGACGAACAAGCTGAATCTGAAACCAAAGCTGCTGAGGAAGCCGCCGCAGCTGCAAATGCTCAACAAGAGTCATCTGAAAAGAAGGAAGTTATTAAAGAGTCTTGGGATGCCAGCGACTCGGAAGAAGATGCCAATGGCGATGACGATACATCTCAGGCTACTACTACTACCACAAATAATGACGAAAAGTCCAACAGTGGTGGAGAGGCTGCAGTTTCGGGCACAGCTGGTAATGCTGTAGAATCATCCGATGATGAATCGGAAGATGATGAAGAGTCTGAAAGTGAATCTGAAAGTTCAGGTTCTGAATCTGAAAAGGAAGAAGCCATTAATACTAATGACGCGGAGGCTCGTCGGTTGCGTGCTGAAGCTCGTATTATAAAGCGTCAGGATGATGCAGAGAAAAAGCGTACTGTAGATGATTTGCGCGCCGCTGTAGTGTGTGTACTCGGTCATGTCGATACAGGAAAAACAAAAATTTTAGACAAGTTACGTCGTACTCATGTGCAAGATTCCGAAGCTGGGGGCATTACGCAACAGATCGGCGCAACAAATGTTCCAATCGATGCAATAAAAGAACAAACTAAACCTGTTTATAATTCATCAAGTTTCGAATTTAAGTTGCCTGGCTTATTGATCATCGACACTCCTGGTCACGAATCGTTCAGTAATCTAAGAAATCGGGGATCATCACTCTGTGATATTGCTATTTTGGTGGTAGACATTATGCACGGCCTGGAGCCTCAAACCATCGAATCAATTAATTTACTTAAAAAAAAAAAGTGTCCGTTCATTGTCGCACTAAATAAAATTGATCGATTATATGATTGGAAGGTAATGGCTCGTCGAGACGTTCGTGATGTTCTAAAGGAACAACAAGCTAATACACAGCTTGAGTTCAAGCAACGTTCGAAGGACGTAATTCTCCAGTTTGCTGAGCAAGGTTTAAACGCTGCACTCTTCTATGAAAATCCTGATCCCAAAACATATGTTTCATTGGTACCAACCAGCGCAATAACTGGCGAGGGTATGGGCAATTTACTGTTTCTAATTGTGGAGTTTTGCCAAAAGATGTTGCCAAAACGTTTAATGTACTCAGAAGAGCTGCAGGCAACAGTATTGGAAGTTAAGGCAATTCCGGGCCTTGGCACCACCATCGACGCGATTTTAATAAATGGCAAACTTCGGGAAGGTCAAACGATGATATTGGCAGGTACAGATGGTCCAATCGTTACTCAAATACGTTCGCTTCTCATGCCTCAACCAATGAAAGAGTTGCGTGTAAAGAATGCCTATATTGAACACAAAGAAGTAAGGGCTGCACAAGGTGTTAAAATTGCAGCAAAGGATTTAGAAAAGGCTATTGCTGGAATTAATCTGCTCATAGCACACAAACCGGATGAAGTGGAAATTTGCAAGTAATTGTTTGAAATAACTTTTATTTTCGATGAAGATTAATAAGAAACCTTAAACGTTTGCAGGGAAGAAGTTGCGAAAGATCTAAAGAGCGCTTTAAGTCATATAAAACTTGCGCAAACTGGTGTGTATGTGCAAGCTTCAACTCTGGGCTCGCTAGAAGCTTTGCTAGAGTTCTTAAGAACGTCTAAAATTCCGGTAAGTTTAACATACTAAATTTTGTATATGACTGATATTTTTCAAAATTTTCATATATAACAGTATTAAATATTGTAAAAAAGCAGATATTTTGAGTTAGGGCCATGCTCAATGTCTGTTTAGTAGCCAGCTGTGAGTTAAGTTATGGTTAAATTTACTACGACCCATTAAATGTAAAAAACCCTATTTTAACCAGAACATAACCGACAGATATCTGTCAATCAGACATTGACTCTTATATTTTTATAAAATAACTAACATTATGCATACATAATACAATTATAAATTAAATTTTGTTAAAGCAGGTGTTGGATGTAAAAATGAATTTAATTTTGAGACATAATGGTATAAGTAAAGATATCGTTATTTGTAAAGGGTACGTTCAATATCTATTAATAATTGAGTCGTATATTAAAAAAGTGGCATCACTGCTGGATACGTACACAATAATCAGCTGTTTATAACAGTGTATAAGAGTCCGACTTCTTACTAAGAGATTTCAGAGAAATGTGCTGCCGAAATTGAAAGAAAATAATTGTCTGCCATTAAGCATTTAAATTAAATTTAGTGTGAGTTTATAATGTATTCGTAATTTACGTGATAATCTTTATTTTTTGCACAGGTGCGGTATTTGCTTTAAGCCTGTGGACATAAACTTCGAAGTAACCTGACATATTGATTGGGCTTCCAGCAAGCAATTGCCAATTTACTTTGTTGGTGGTATCTGGTATAATGCTTTTTCTTGCAGTTTTGTTTATTTGGTTTTGCTTTTTTATTCGGATAAATAGGTTGGGGTAATTTCGGTTTTAAGGAGTTTAGAGCACTCTCACTAGGTTGCGAAAGAACTACACCTGTTTATCCATTAGGTTTCGAAATTGTCATTCATATCAATAAGATTTATCTCATATGAGAATAGAGTTGATCAGTACTGAAAGTAGTAAATATGATCTAAAAAATACAGCTATGGACACATAAATGGCAAAGTTTCATTTCATATGAATCCTAAAATTGTTTAAGTTAAAGTTGTTCAAAATGTCAAAATTTTGCATTCAATTTGGTGCTGCCCTAATATTCCTTTATGTTTTGCTGCTATAGTGAGATTCTTCAAAAAAGATCCATTTAAATCATCCCGGAAGGTAGCAGCTGGTATCTCGGACGCATATCGAGGAAGAAACCACTCCTTTAAAAAAAAAAAATATATATTTCAAAACGACCAATGCTCATCAAGAGAAAAGCTTAAATTTTTGGAAAAATGTATTGTAGAGTGACGAAACAAAGGTTAACCGGATAGGACCAGATGACAGAATATTTGTACGTCGTCCTAAATGCCAAAAATATAATCCGCTCGTTAGAATCAATGGAAAAGTGGACAAGTATCGGTACTTAAACATTTTAAAAATCCACTGGAACCATATGCTTTTGAGTCTATGCCAATTAAATGGAAATTTATGCAAGACAACAAAATATTTGGATTGGCCAGCGCAAAGCCCAATTGAAAACCTATGGAATGAGGTCAAGACTGAAATTGCAAAGGTTAATTATAAAAATATAGATGATGGTCTGCTATTAAAAAAACTTGGTACGGTATACCTAAGGATAAGTGTCAGAATCTCGTAGAAAGTATGGGTCGCAGGTGCGAAGCAGCCATTAAAAATAAATATTACAGCAGAAAATATTAACAATCAAATTGCAATATGTAGTAAATTGTCCACATTTTTTTAGGTTGTGCTATTTATGTGTCCAGCTCATTATACCAAAGTTTCCGCATTCTGATGATTATTTTGTTTTAACAATGAATTGCATCTTCATTTTGTACTGAAGACAAAGAATGAACTTTTTAAAAAACCCCAATACTTGGTTATTCATTAAAAATATTTATAATAGTGTAACACAAGAAAGAAGATATAGAAAATGAGCCATAATCAGGATGATATACAAGTTAATATTTGTTTTAAGAGATGGCCATATTGCCAATTCTTAAGTGAAAATGTTATTTCAAAAAACTTAATGTGTAATTGGAATTGTCCCGCATTTATTTCCGAAAAGTGCTTATAACTCAGCAGTTGATTGCAAGACACTATTCCAATTGACAATTTCCTTTTCTACAGCAATGTAATTAAAATAATATTTAATTCCGAATTGTAGTACAATTTTTCAATTGGTAAAATTTTATTTATAATAGTGGTAAGAAAAGGGAGAGCTCAAATAACGAGCTTTAAATAAAAGCCGAAACATTTTAGAAAAGTAAGTGTTATCATGAAGGATAAGAATCGAAAACCATTGTTGCTGTTATTGTTGTAACAGCATACCTACCATAAAACGTTCTCCAAATCGGTTGTCGTCGTATTGGGATGTGAGTTTGTACATCCTATCGCTGATGCATGATATGCATGTTATGAAAATACGTTTTCCGTTACATGTTTGTCACATGCTATGCGTTGGGACTGGTCGTTTAAGGTCTTAATTAACATTTTTTGAATAAAAAATAAATAAACAAGTAACAGTAAGTGACAGTGTTCCGATTAAGTCCGTCTACGAACTCCAACTTTTTTGGACTAAGAAACCTGCAACCAAATTTCATTAAAATATCTCAATTTTTACACAAGTTATAGCCCGTGCGGACGTCTCCTTATCATTTATATATACATATAACCCTATATCGATCTCGATTAGTTTTAGGTAATACGTACAACCGTTAGGTGAACAACACTATAATACTCTGTAGCAACTGGTTGCAAGAGTATAAAAGTAGAGGAATTAACTTATTAATTCTCAACAATCCTTACTGATTCATTCGAATGCCATGATTTCTGACTGATTAAAGAATATTTAACAAACAATAAACATGTTCATTTAGTGACTATAGAAAATTCAAAATAAAAAGGTCTTGCTAGAATTTAAAAAAGGAGAAGAGAAGGCTGATAATTAACCAAGTTTAAAATAAAAAATAAATATTTGCTTACTCGTAGGTTTTTAAAATTCTCATGAAATGCAAAGCAAAAAAAAAAGATTAACACACTGCATATTCTGCTTATGTGGCTAACGGCGGCATGTGTGCCAATCAATTAATGTAGCACTTGCGCTCATGTATATATACATACATATATGTAAATACATATATCCATACGAACGCACTTATGTCCATATTTTGGACGGAAATGTGACCGGAATTTAGTAAAATTAATATCAAAGCAACGCAGAAAAGTCTAAAATTACAAAAGTGGGTCGTCGCGTTGGTGGCAACGCGATCAATGCAATTCTGAATATTTAATTTGCTTAGCTTGTAGGATATTCCACTAACAGATATGTACACCATATGCGTTATAATTTAACAAAAAAAGTGGCTAATTTAACTTTCTAGTTTACCTTACTCAAATTTTTTAGAATATCGATGCAATGATAAAACAAACATTTAATTTGCGTACTAAAAGTGTGTAAGCCACTAAATAGTCAAGAGCTCAAAGCCAATACCACGTGGTTTGTGGATACCTCCGTAAAGTGTTGAAACGTATATCTATTTGATCGCTTTAGTCTACCTGTTCGATCTTAATTCCCCCATATTATCGATAAACTTATCAACATACATATATATTTTGACGATATAATTAATATATGTTCCATTTGAAAGCTAATTTACCAAATCAATATAATACAAATTGTTTAAAAATGCTAAAATATATAAATTCCACATATTTCCCACAACACATACTATACACTTGTCACTGATAGAGGTGTTTTAAAAAAATTCCCACTAAACTACTATTCGGCGAATCCAACCACATTTGCATAAGTTTACTAAAAAAGCTAAAAATGTATGTGAACTCGTCGAAAAGCGCAATAAATGGAAACTTGTATAACCGAAAATAATGAAAAATAATATTGTCGTCTTGCTATTTTCTCAGCGTACGCCAACGCAATCCTACCTAAACTATAAAGAACAGGTTGAAAAAAAACTCATTAGCGATACCCTATAAGAAATTTTTAGCGACGAAGGTGTGTAAAATTTACGGAAATTACACTTTCAAAGCACAGCTAATGCAACATGTTAGCTGTTTCTTGCCAATTCTGGGTTGCTAAAACCGAAAATTATAGTATACATTTCCCAACACGTAGGAGTTTTGTGTTGCACTCAAGGGGTGTAATGGTCAAAGCACGACCATTTACTAAAATTACAAAAATGGCGATACATGGTGGAAAATTTTAATTCAATGACTAATGGATTTTTATTAGGACTATTTCAGTGAACAAAATTAATCATTAATCTACAAAGTACACGAATTTTGTCTAGAAAATTGATTTTTCGAAACACTTCCCCCGATCGAGGAATTATTTTCTCTCAGGGCGAGTTGCTGGCATAGTACTCACGCCCTACAACTAAAGAGCATAATTTATTCAATCTACATATTCATAATTCACGTGTAGTTTTATATGTATCAGCTGGTAATTTTATAAGTTATTACACAAATATTCAACAATCGTAAATAGAAGATACATACCTGCATGAGTATTTCAGCCATAGTCTCATGCTAATTAGATGCGCAGCTTCACTAGTGTGGATAACTCATTCATAGTAATGCATTATTGTATTTGTTGTTGATGTTATTGAGTGGGCTGACCAACACATTGCTTATAGTCTCTTCACACGGTTTATAAAGTGGTGTGGGCGATATTACAAATGTACATACATATTTAAATTTATTATGAATGAAGTTGCATTTAATCTAGTATATGCCACATAATTAACTATACAAATATACCTAAAAGCAGATAAGTTTCGGATTAAATTGTTAGTAAGGTATAATTTGTTGATTGAAAATGAAACTAATTAGTAGACTTATATCTTCAATGAATTGGGCCTTAAAGTTTTCAACGCAGCGTATATAGTTTTATTACTGGAAGTCAGGAGTGAGTAGCTTCTGAATGGTAGTAAGTTTACTCCTTGGTACTTGAATCTGATGGCAAGATCGTTAACAAATATCGTATATTCGGTATAAGAAATAATAATTCAATAATAATATAAATTTTCTGTATCCCCTTCGAAACAAACTCTTGCACCAATGCAGGCATGTTATAATCCTTGGCTGGAGGCTATCCTCCTCAGCCTTCAGTGCTATCAGCTAATTTTGGGTTTTTGGAATGCAATTACATTACATTTTTAGACATTTTCTTGGTCATATTCGTTAACACACGTTTCGTCATCATTAATGATGTGTTGGATAAATGTAGCTCAGCTATCTCGTCAAGTATAGGTTCTTTTTGTTTTTTGATTTGTAGAAGTGTGTTTTTTGATTGTGTAGAAGTATGTGTTATCTTTTGTGTAAGTAAGTGTTTATCTTTTGTGACCTCTCCTCGATGTCTTTTTTTTTTTTCTTAAGATTCAAGTCTTTTGGTACGAGTCTAGCATTGATACGCTTCACACCCAAAGTATTGACCTGTTCGCGTTGTAAACAAAGAGCTGTCAAACACTAATTGGCATATGGAGATCAAACATCACACGGATATAGAAAAGGTTGTGTCAATCTAAAAAAAAATATTTATCGATTATCGCAGTCCAACTGGGCAAGTACTGGTCAATTTTGATCATAACATATTGTGTCATACATAAATACAATGTATACCGTAGCATTTATGTAAATAATTCGATCGCGCATTTTGAGGTTTCCATTGCCAATTAGGTGGCCGATAAGTCGTTGCCAACAACGAGCGACATCAAAATATTCGCCGATGGCGATGAATAAGCAGCACTAAAAAGCTCCTATGAAAACGTTTGACGGAATACAGCATCAGCGAGCCAATGAATGCTAAACTAAACAAATGTAAATGAAATTAGCGTGAAAAGTGTCATTGACTTCCTAAAATACTCGCATAATGAATGATTTCTTTCTTGGCGCTGTTCTCAATGTATTGTACATACACATATGCACACACATACATATGAATGTGCACATGCTTGGATGTGTGCAGCTAAAGGCCACTGCAAAGCATACGCAGAAGCCTTTCCCAGATTTTAATGAATCAATTTTAGTTAATGAATGAATGAATGTGGAAAGCGAAGAGTGAAGTGGTCTAGTGTCTCATTACCGTCTGGCAGGCGTTCAATTTGCTTCTCAAATAAATAAAAACCAAAATACGAGTACATTCGAGCGCAAACAATTATTTTTTGTGCATCATCAAAAAAATATGTGCCCAATTGGTGAGGTGTTTTCTAATCTGAAAGTTGTTTGCTGTTTGTGGGGGGCAACCTTGTAACAATTTACACTCATACGCATCTGTGGATGTATGTGTGTACCATAAGTCTGTGTCACTGCACATGTGTCCGCTGATCAGTTTTTGCTTGCACTATCGTGTTTAATGCAATTGTCTCAATGGGTGACATTTCTATAAAGTCGATTAATTTTAGCTTCGATTTTAACGCATTTGGTTCTCGTTTTTCTCAGAAGCTTTGTTTGGAAGCCTATAGAGTTAGAGAGAGGAGCCGAGATATTTTCAAGGGAAAAATAATTTGGTTTTCAGTTGTTGTGAGGTTGTTTGAATGGTATTCATGAAACCTTTTCGGGTTGCAGCCATCGGTTGAATATACTTTGTATATGGTTTGTATCCAATGGTTTTAGTTTTGGGTCTTGGGACAAAAACATTGTCTATTGGCAACTCAAATTCAATACTACTTTTGTAATTTCAATTTACATCATTTATTGAATTCGCTGACAATTTTTGTTAAACAAATTTTTTGTTAGGAAAATTTTCGCTTTGTAAATTTTGGTATTTTTTTTTTGTTTCGCCATTTTTTTTTGTTTGGTTTATAAATTTATTTGTGTGTATACGTAAAAATACGCTCTTTGCAGATTTGAGCATCCAAAAATGGACCGCAATGTCAGAGCTCGACCTCGTCATCCGTCTGGAATGCGCGGTCGCGATATTGGAATGTTCTATCGCAACCTATCGAAAAGGAAACAATCAAAGACAGATACGCCCACGATTAAATTGGGTCCATGCGTGAGTGTTCCCCAAACCGTGTTGGCCAAGGTTGAAGAGAGCTTACGTCGTTTCGAGCAGAGCTGTGAAGATGAGAAGGTGTTGAAAGATTTTGAAACACAATTTCGGCATTTGCTTTGCGCCGATTTCGAAGATTTCATTATCAGTACCAAGTCGGCCAGTGTGGAGCTACAGGACAATGAATTCCAAAATCAACGCTACAAATCCGAGGTGTTGGCAAAGGAACGTGATCCAGAGTTCCAACAGCGATATGAGCAACGTCTAAAATTACCGACTATGAAGCAAAGTGAACGCATATTGGCAGCGATCAAAGAAAATCAAGTGCTACTAATTGTTGGTAGCACCGGGTGTGGTAAGACCACGCAGGTACCACAACTCATTTTGGATGATTACATCTTTAACAATCGTGGTTCGCAATGTCATGTGGTGTGTACGCAACCGCGTCGTATTTCCGCGGTAACGGTTTCCGAGCGTGTAGCCTACGAGCGCCTCGAAAAATTGGGTGTATCGGTTGGTTATCAAATACGTTTGGAGAGTGAATTACCACGTGACAATGGCTCCATTTTGTACTGCACCACTGGCGTGCTACTGCAAAAACTGCAAACTGATCCACTGATGAACGCCGTTAATGTTGTTATCATAGATGAAATACATGAGCGTGGTGTAGAGACAGATTTACTATTGGCTTTGTTCAAAATCGTATTGCCACACCGGCCTAATCTCAAGGTTATACTAATGAGTGCCACAGTTTCAGAGCAGGAATTCAGTGCCTATTTCAATAACTGTTGTACGATATACATCGAAGGCACGATGTTTCCGGTTAAGGTGAATTATTTGGAAGATATTATACAAGAGACTGGGTTCACCCGTTTTCGAAATAATCCGCACGAGTGTGCCAAAAATAAACCGCGGCAACATGGTAAACAGTTTAACCGTCAGAATGCTAACGACTTTGCATACACGGCAATGATAGAGCCATATTTGCGACAAATAAAGGACAAATATGATTCCCAAGTGCTGCAATCCTTACGTTGCACTGACTCTGAGGGTTGCGAAAATCTGCAATTTATAGAGCACTTAATTTTCTACATTTGTGATACCAAGCCACCTGGCGCTATTTTGGTCTTCTTGCCGGGCTTTGATAAAATCTCTAAACTTAATTCGATTCTGCTGAACCCCACCTTGCCGATAGGCCAGCGTTATTCCCGCAAGATACAAGTGTATCCTCTGCACTCAATGATGCCAACAATGTTTCAGAAGAACATATTTCAGCCCTCCCCACCTGGAATACGAAAAATCATACTCTCCACCACAGTGGCGGAGACCTCGGTCACCATTGACGATGTGGTCTACGTAATCAACTGCGGACGCATGAAGATGAATAATTATAATGTCGAGGCTAACTTGCAGACGCTGGAAGAGACTTGGGTTACAAAAGCCAATTCACAGCAACGCAGAGGTCGGGCTGGGCGTGTCCAACCCGGCATTTGTTATAATCTCTTTAGTCGCGCACGTGAAAAAACAATGATCGATCATCTGGTACCCGAGATAAAGCGGAGCAAACTAGAATCCACCATATTGAATTTGAAAGTGTTGCACATAAAAGATGTGGACCATTTTTTGAATACACTCATGTCGCCGCCTGATAATCAAGCCATTACGAATGGTATAAATTTGTTGAAACGCATCAATGCTTTGGATACAGAAGGTACGTTAACGCCTCTGGGCATGCATTTGGCACGTTTACCAGTCGATCCACAAATCGGTAAGATGCTTGTAATGGCGGCGTTATTTCGTTGTATGGATCCCATTACCACAGTGGCGGCAGGGCTCTCATTCAAATCGCCATTTTATACGCCGCTTGGCAAAGAGAAGGACGTTGATCGAGTTAAACGTGATCTCTCGGCCAACAAGAGAAGCGACCATCTGTTAATCGACAATGTGATGCTCAATTATCGTGAGTCATTGCAAGATGGTTCCGAACGGGACTTTTGTTATAAAAATTACTTAAATATTGCCACACTCCAACAGCTGGAGGACATGAAGCGCCAATTCGCCAGTTTACTTCGTGCAGCAAGCTTCACCGAATCCGGCTCTTGTAATGCGAAAACCTCCAATGAGAACTCCAACAATATTCCTTTGTTGCGCGCAATCATCGCAGCCGGGCTCTATCCAAACATGGCGTATTTAAATAAAGTGCGCCGCACCAAGAATCATGTGAATGCTATACATCACCTCTCCACACCAGAGGAGCGTCGCATAAGTTTTCACCCATCCTCTGTGAACAGTAATGAGGCTTCCTTTGATTCACACTATTTTGTTTACTTTCAAAAGCAAAAGTCTTCAAGCGTTTTCATTATGGATGCCACCATGGTCTTCCCCATGGCCTTGATCATATTCGGCGATGGCGTCGAAACGGGTTATACCGAGCATAAAGTATTCTACATATCGGTGGCTCGCACTTACTACTTCAAATGCGATCCCGGCACAGCGAAAGTGATGTTGGAGCTGCGTAAGCGCTTGGAATGGCTTATGCAAAAGCGTGCTTTAAACCCTTCACCAATCCAGCCAAACAGTAGTGAAGATTGCATCATTAAAGCCATTCATATCCTTTTATCACTCGACGATGTGTACGACTACACTGATCAATATCTCTCATCCGATGAAGAACAAATATAACCACAATCGTGAGAATATTTAGACGACCTTGAATTCAGAAATGTTACAGAGACATTAAACGTTTATATTACATATAAGAAATGAATAAATAAAAGTTTGAGTAGCCAATTAAAATATTAGATTTTGTATTTAATTGCTTAGGAGTTAATTGTACATTAATTATACAGAGTTGTTGCATATTTTTTTAGGGCAAAAACTGCAATTTTAGTAGACATTTGCAAACAAAAAAAAAATTGGGAAATAACGGACATCCTAATGTAAATTGTGACAAAAAAATATGTATTTTGGCCTATTATTTAAATGCCATATATGAGGGCGATCTGTCAACCAGTTTGTTTACAGCGACTGTTTAAGCCTCAGTAGTCCGTTGAGATTTTTACAGTGAATAAAAATATCGAACAAAGAATTTGTCTCAAATTTTGTATTACTGACCAAATTTCGTGCGCGGGATCGTTTCGAATGTTGGAAAAAGCTTACGGTGATTCAGTTTTACCAAAGCCTACGAGTGGTATAAAGCTTTCAAAGACGGTGGAGAGATCGTCGACGACATGCCTCGATCTAGACGACCTTCGTCTTCTTCAACTGATGAAAATAATAAGAAAAACAAGAGAGCCACTCCTCGTGAGTCCGACCGATACGTTTTGGTTGATATTTTTGGTATGAAACTCGTTCTTAATCGACTCGCACCGATAAACCTGATTGTTTTTTTTTTTTTAAGAACATGTTTGATTGTGCGAATTCCGATCCCACAATCATGGAGAGCATAACTGCTAACGACAGACGGGTTTATGAGTTTTCCATGCAAACAACAGTTATCGGAATGGAAGGAAAAAAGCGAGCCGAAACCAAAAAAAAAAAAAAAAAAACACTCAAAAATCAAGGTGATTTTATTCTTTTGTGATTTTTATTGTTTTGTTCAATCGAGTCACGATTGGGACAGTATTTAAAGCCACAAACACAATGAATACCATCGATCAACCACCGTACACCGCATTCACCAGATTTGGTCCCGTGTGATTTTTTCTTGTTCGTGGAACCCGTTTTCAGCCGATCAAAGAGCTGAAACAAAATCCGTTGAAGGAGCTGAAGACCATCCCAAAAAGTGCTTATGATAAAATTGTGGGCATAAGTGTACGGATATTACATCTGGTGGGGATTATTTTGAAAGAAAAAAAAAATAAATATTGATGAATAACTAATATTTTGCATTTCATTTATAATTTTCGTGTACTTTTTTGTCACAAATTTGTATAGCGATAGAACCTGCATGAAATGTTCGTATATCTGAAATTCGCTGCAACTCTTAAATTGCTTTGCATTTCAGGTTAGGTAATCATTCTAATTAAGTGAAACGAAGTGCAAATGTTTACTATCCATTTAGTGTATTTGTTTATTTCAGCAGCAAGTATTTTTGCACTAATTGTTTAATCTGTCTAACACCTGTCTATTGAATTCTCCGCGATCCTTTTCAATTTTCTCTATGGAGGTGTTTATTTTCCATTCCAATAATAATGCATTCATACATATGTATATTTGTACATATCGTCACCTGAAATGCAAAATAACGTATCATCAAAAAATATTGATTACGCTTCACTACTTCAAATTACAAACATAATATTACATATGTTCAACATTTTCAGGTTCTGCACTCAGATATAAACCAGTTTTAACAAATATTAAAATTTGTTTCACTCATGTTCCATTTTATTTCGTGTTTCATTCATGTCACTGGAAATTTCCGAAAATGTTGTTAGGTTATTTTGCATTTCACATGTACATGCAATTGGTGTGCCCTCCCTGTGCTTGCTGGCCTTTTTTATTGCCACATATTAGCATCTACATACAAACATCTGTATAAATAAGATATGTATGTGTAAACAAATTAGATAATTGGCTAATATTTAGATAATATGTGTGCGCGATTTTTGTTTATATAAATATGTATAAACATAAGCTTTGTATATATGTTTGAATATATGTATACGTATATATGTATGCACATACGTTTTTTTATGTTATGAGTCTGATAAATTTTAACTTTTCGAATTACACCTCAGGTCTTTACTTAGGTGCTCTCAAGGGCCACGAGGAATGGAACTCTCTTTTCGCTATTTCTCTCCGATTGATTTTGCCTATTTTTTCATTGAAAGCACTATGACATATTTGCATACATAAAAGAGGTTTTCGACAGCAGCAACTTACTGATCATTTTCATTACCACAAGTATACAGTACTAACGCGTTAGGTTTGATGATCTCTGGTATATCTTCACCTCCAACATTTATGGGGTCTTTTGTTATTAAGGGATTCTAAACTTCCTGCCAGAATTTAGGATTCTTACCATCCCAGAGTTATGGACAGTTAAAGGTACTAAAGGCATCAAGAATTACACAAATGCTTCAGCTTGAAAACTAAACTGAACTGAACAACCCTGTAGTTGTATTTTTGTTCGCTAGCGTTTAGAAAGCGCTAATAGTAGTAAATTTATGTTATTTAATTTTTGCGGCGACTGTATAGCTGGGTATTCGCGAGCCGGTAAGACAGCAAGTTACGCATACGACCAAATTTACTTATCTTTGTGTGACACCGGTTTTAGAAAGTTTGGAGGCATTTTATGAATGAACCTCTACACATACTTACATACTTATGTTCGCGTGCGGTGAATTTTCTTGGCGCATTAGAAAAGTGCAATTATTTTCGTTAATAATTTTCCAACATTACAAGAAATTTTTCTTACGCATCACACACGATTGCTAGCTTTCTTATTGTTACCCCATTTCCAGAAACTAACTAGCCAGCGCTTACATTTTTTAAGGGGTTCTTCAACAATTTTTTCTCATATAAAAAAAGGGATATTTTGTTGGAATTTTTTTTTTTTATTGTTACAGACATACACTATTAACAAATCAATTTTTAAATTTTTGAAAAATTTTTGAAACTCGGCCAAATACTGTTTCGAGAACAGTTTATTGTTACAGACATACACTATTAACAAATCAATTTTTAAATTTTTGAAAAATTTTTTAAACTCGGCCAAATCCAGTTTCGAGAAAGGCGCGTTTTGCCTAGCACTTAGCCCAGCTGGCCTCGAGCGCAGAAGTTCTCATGGCTGTATCACCAAAACTATCACTATTACTCAGATCAACTTGAAAATTATACAATATTCTAGAGGTGTTGCAGAATTTAATAAGACAACAAAAATAATCAATTTTTTGAAACCCGTAAACCCATGTAATCCATTAAATCAACTATAAAATCAATAGCGCTATTGAACTTTGCACCATTTTAGTTTTGCTGGTCTCTCAAAATTTGTTTGGTTCAATATAATTAATTTTTGAAGCTCTAATCATTTAATTTCTTGTGCCAGGGATCTTTTTGAACAGGATTTCAAAACAATTTGGATATTACTGTATAAGGAAGCCAGATTTTTGGATTTGGTATTCAATTTATTCTATATAAGTACATGGTACAAGTACACATACATCCACAGTTATGCAACAAATCTCGTTTTTAAGTCATTTTGATTCGAAAAATATTTAGGATGAAAGTGCCTTTTCGAGCTGTGGAGACCATAAATATCCATGCTTTGAAGGTTATATTGCACGTCTGTTTTACTATGACCATCAATAAGTTAAGACTCTCCCCGGCAAAAAGTACTTGTATAAGTTATGTAATTACATATATGTATGTATGTATGTATATTGAATGAACGGTAACTCGTAGCAGTACTGCTGCCAAAAATTGCGCAATTTCTTATTCATTGCGAAAGCGCTCCTAATGGCAATAGGAAGTTGTCGTTAAAACGTGCACATTGCCTATCCACCACTTCAAATTGGCGCCTCAAACAAACGGTAAAAAACAATAGACTAAATAAAGAAAAGTCTTACACTTATTGTATAATCTCAAATTATTGCATAGCCCGAAATGTACACATTTTTGTGAATGAAATGAAAATCCTATGAAATTAAAGACAGAGAGATTGTCATTATGAGATATTATGATAGTAAAAGAAAAATGTATTAATGTTACACTGAGTACTCTCTATAAAGCAGCGGCAACTCCAATTACCCGAATGATCACTTATCTACTGGGATATGGCTAACAACGCTCAGCTAACCACATTAATAGAGTTTATGAAAATGGCTACTAATGTCGCCATATAATATATATGTACATATATATATATTTTTTTTTCATAGTAAACAGCAGTCCGCAACACTTAAATTTCAGACCTACAGCTGTGGTCATAAAGATAGTAATGCTGGTGGGTTCTAACTATAAAAAACCAAAAATAAAGTTAAAAATTCATACTATGAATTGAATACCTCTAAAACTTAATTTTTAGCTATTCCTACGTACAGGGCGGATCCAAGAGTTCCTCAACAAAAAGTTAAATGAAACCAGAAGAAGTAATTATATAGCGAATTTTCCAATAAGGACAGCAAACGACGCCATATTTTTCCTCGTTCTTTTGACATTTCTATTCAGTAAGGTTTGCCATTTTATCATGGAAAGATATAGGATTTACTATCAAAATTCGTAGTCAGATAAGAGTGCTACAAAAGTTTTTTTTTTAGATAAAACAAAAACGGTTTGGGATATCAATGAAATTCTTTATTCCCGTTAAAAGAATATATCCTCAAAAATCTTTGATTGGATTCAGGTCTACTGTCTATGTTGGCCAGGACATTATTTTGATATTTTCTGATGGAAACCACTGCTCCTATGGTTTGGTTCGTTACCTACGTCTAACGTTACTTTTATAGACTTTTCCAACTGGAAAATGGTAAAATATTAACGTTGTTCAGTAGGTTGATGTTACTTACACTGTTAGGTCCATGATGCCAAAGATCAAAGGTTTTGAGCCGTTGCCTTTGAATAGTCTTCTACGATTTGTAAGAGTAATAACCGACAAGATTAAATCTGTTTTTCCCATTTTTGAGGATGTTTGGACCTCGTTTTTTACATATCGTATAATCTGATTGTTTTCTACTATTGAATTTATACGATTCTTCGCTTTATTCCTCCTATTTTAAAGCATTAAATGTTGTCTAATTGTTAAGCCGTAGCCCACTATTGCTTCGACTTCCTTTAGGTTCTGTCTT